CTGCTGGGCTCAGGCGATCCTTCCACCTCAGTCTTCCAAGTAGCTGGAACTGCAGGCATGGACCACCATACCCAGCTAATTTTTTGATTTATTGTAGAGATGAGGTCTCGACCAGGCTGGTCTCAAATCCCTGGACTCAGACAATCCTTTCACCTCAGCCTCCCAAAGTGCTGGGATTATAGGCATGAGCCCCTGTGCCTGGATGAGGGCACCCATCTTTAAGAGGATGGGCAGGAGCTCTGCTGTCTGCAGAGAGGAGTGGGTTGGGCCCTCTGTGTCTTGGAGATGGAAAAGGGAACACTGCCCACCTGCTGGGGCTGGCTCCCGGGGGGTGCAGAAGAGATAGTGGACTGTGGAGGGTGGAGGCCCCAGCCAATGGTGTCACACTGGGGAGCGGCTGTGTAGGGGTGGGTGCAAAGGCCCAGCAAGAAGAAGGGCGGCACTAGCCCTCATCCAGGAGCTTCAGGGTGGGGGCTGGCCCTGTAGGTGAAGCAGTGCCCTTAATGGCTGAGGGGTCCCCTGAGAGCAGCTTCAGGCTGTGTATGTAGCTGGAGTGGACTGACTAGCCCCAGAATCTCCCAACTCGGGTCTTGAACCCTGACCCTTTCTGGATGGCACAAGCCTGCGTGTCTTCATATCAGAGGAGGCCCGAGAGAAGACACAGGTTCCTGCAGACCTGGCTCCAGGGGTAGAGCACTTTTGCCCCTAACTTGGTGGGTAGATCTTGTCATGTATATGGGAACTGGAGGAGATCTTGGGCAATAAAAGAGGAGACCGAACACTCTTGTCTCTCTTTCCATCCTCTTGTCTCTATCCAGCTCCCACCCAAAACACATGAGCAACTGTTGTTGAAATGAAATTCCGCTCATTCTCTGGAAGGGGAGCACTGACGCCAAGAGAGGTTAAGAGGCTGCCAGCCTGCCCTGGCATGGTAGCTTGTGCCTCTAATCCCGGCACTTTGGGAGGCTGAGGCGGGAGAATCTCTTGGAGTTCAAGGCCAACCTGAGCAACATAGGGAGACACAGGAATCCCCACCCTGACTCACCATTGGCCATGAGGCTGAATTTCTGGAGGGTGGGATCTGTTATGTTTTGGGCCAGGTGATTGGCCAGGCCTTGGAGATGTGCAGGGATAGGGGTCCGGAACTTGTATTCGACGTAGACGCCCACCCACCAGTCCGCATCACTAGGGAAGTACAGTGGAGGGTCCAGGGTCACCAGCTCTTTGCTGGCACTCGTTCTGGAAGCAGATCTGGTTCCCCCACCTGCGCACCCTCAGGGTGGAGGGTTCCTGCCTCCCAGGGCAGAGATCACATAACATCTGGCGCTTCCTAGGACAAATTCTCTGGCCCCCCCCCACTGTGGCCCCAAACCTACGCCTCCCATGGCCTAGCTCTCAGTCATGGAACGAAGCTGCCCCCTCTGCCCAGGGAGGCTCCCAAGAGAGGAACAGAGCAGACTGGGTGGGAAGAGAGGGACCTGACGCCCGAAGAGGAGCAGGGGCCTGTCCTGGGGAGGTGCCTTATAGACCCCCGACACTGCGGGCGTGACCTGCGGGAGGCTGGGGGTCAGGGCCTGCCTGGGAGCTGTCCCTCCTGACCCAGCCTGGGGCGGGGACAGGTCAGGACTTGGTGAAGCAAGAGGCAGCCTGTCCTTGAGCATGGTGGCCCCCTTGGGGTGTCTGCTTCCGGAGCCTGGCCATGTTCCCCCCCACCCAGAGCTGTCTCCCTCCCCAGACAACCCTCTCCCCTGGGGCAGGGCGTCACCCTTAAAGGGGGCCTCTGGGGCCGGGCTGTGTGGCCACATCCATCTCCCCCACAGCACCACGGTGTGGTGGCTTGTGCCTCTCATCCTGGCACTTTGGGGGGCCGAGGCTGGGTGCTGTCGCCATGGGATGCCACCGCGCCCCTCAGCCACAAGCAAGGAGGCTCACTTTCAAGAGAGGCAAGGGGAATGACCCAGATCCTCACCTGTTGGAGGATCTGCCCTGCCAGCAGGGCAAAGTGGTCAGAACCAGGCACCAGGAACTGAGACAGGAAGGGCCTCATGGCTGTGAAGCGGATGCGGACGGTCTCCCGGGCCAGGTCCGTCAGGTTGACCCCTGCAGGGCCGTGGGTAGGAGTTCAGGGATCCCGGGAGCCTCCTCACCCACTGAAACTGCTTCCGGGTCAGGGTAGGAGTTGGACCCCTCCAGGGAGCCCACCCCACACTCCCTGTAGGCAGCTCACCATCAGAGGCAAGTCTGTCCTCAGCCAAGGTCAGGTTCCCCAGCCTCTGCCTTGAAGTCTTCACTTTTCGGTACAAAACCCAGAGGACTTCACAGGCAGAGGGGCTCGGGCCCGGTCCCCAAACACAAGGGAGGCATTCACAGCTCCAAGGCCAGGCCTGTGGGCAGAACCAGAAACTCCTGCTGAAGCCAGGCTGCCTCCTCAGCGGGAGCTCAGTGGAGGTTTGGCATCCCGAGGGACGGGGACCACAGGGGCAGCTGTGGGCCGCAGAGAGACTCCCTGTATGACTCCAGGGAGCTCATGCTACCCCTCTGGGCCTCAGCTGCCTCCTTGGGAAAGTGAGGATGGCGATCCCTTTCCTGGAGGATTGTCCTGAGGCCTGAATGACGCAGCCACTGGAGCACAAAGCAGGAGCTCAGTGAACAGTTTCCTTGGACCCCAACAAGCCAGCTCTCATGGGAATACTATGAATCCTGTCCTGGGACAGCCCGGGTCAGAGTTACCCAGCCAGGCTGCATCTGACTGTGAGCTCTCAGGAAGCTAACCTGAGCCACACTGAGAAAACATCTTTGGCTGCATCACAAGGAGCAGGGTCTCTGGAGAAAAGGAGGTGACAAGCCCGAGGGATCTCGAAAAGCCTGTGGGAGATGGGCCAGTTGCCATGTCCTGAGGAGGCAGCCTGGCTTCAGCAGGAGTTTCTGGGGGAGGGACCTGGAAGCAAAGGTCCCAGGATCCAGAATGACATTTGTCCTTTCCTGAGCACTTGTTTTGTGTTGTGCTATCCAGGGCTGAGGAGATAAACTTCTGTTTGGGCCCAGGGCAAGGAAGTCACCAAAGAAGCCTTCCATTTAATAAAAGGAGACATTTTCTAACCATCTGAGGAATTTGGCCTGGAGAGATAGTGAGCTCTCCATCAAGGGGAGTATTCATGCCTCTAAATTAACTATGGGACTCAAGGTATGCACTGAGCTCACAGCTCAAGTGGGGCTGCAATAATTCAGAGCTTCTCAGCCTTTCTCATAAAATTGCAGGGCACTATCCATTGGCAGATTTGGTCCTACCCCCATCCTCTTCCCCCAGAGGCTCAGAACCGAAAGGGCCCTCACACAGGGGATTTGCAACCATTTACATGTCATTTGCATGCCAGCCACCCTTGCTGCCCCTGCCTTCTCTACTGAATTCAGCCCCGCCCAGGTCGGGGCTCAGAGCAGGTAAAAGGTAACCTGAGGGCACACAGCACAGCCATTCCCCACATGCCCTGAACAAGGCAGGGGAGGGCAGCCCAAGAGCCGCCCTTGTGGCTGAGAAGGCACAGACCAGTTGGGGACCAGGGTGGCCCTGAGAGCCACGCACACTCACCCGAAGTCCAGGACACCAATGCCCTCGAAGCTGGGGAAGGCCTCCTGGTAGATGGGCTGGAGCTAGGGAGGGACGGGCAGAGGTGTGGAGGGTCGGCATGCCCACCCCACCCCACTTCTCTGCAGCTCCAGCTTCTCCTCTCCCCACATCCCCTGCACTCCTCCCTACCCTCCTCTACCGTCTCTGGCCTGGCCCTGGCAGTGGTCTCCTCACTGACTACCTGGACTGCCGGCCTTGGCCCAGCGGTTCCCCATATGCAGCCAGAGATAACCTGCCAATCACCCCCTGCTGAAAACCCCAGGGCGGCTGGCCCCAACCTTGCAGGGGGAGCAGCCAGCCAGCCGTCCTGGGCGTTTCCCTTGCGGCTGTTTTCTTGAAAATCACTCTCCAACTCAGTTATTCTGGGCTCTGCATCGGATGGCTGCCACCCTGGCCTGCCACCCAGGCCTCTGTCACCTGCACAACTGGCCCTCCTAACTGGTCTCCCCTTCTCCCTCTTCCACCCTGCCCCAAATTGTTCTCCATGCAGCCCCTCTCCCGTGTCTCTCCGCCTCTGATCTTTTTTTGGGGGGAGGAGTCAGAGTCTCACTCTGTCACCCAGGCTGGAGTGCAGTAGCATGCTCACCACTACTGCAGCCTCAACCTGCTGGGCTCAGGTGATCCTTTTGTCTCACCCTTCCAAATAGCTGGAACTATAAGTGCGCACCACCACGCCCAGCTAATTTTTTGATTTATTGTAGAGAGGAGGTCTCACCGAGTTGCCCAGCCTGATTACGAACCCCTGAATTCGTGCAATCCTCTTGCCTCTACTTCCCAAAGCGCTGGGATTACAGGCCCGAGCCACCGCGCCCAGCTGACCTCCTTTTCACCAAGGCTTCTCGCACATGCTGTTCTCTTTGCCTAGAAAGCCCCTTCCTGTTTCATCTGGCTGCCTTCTCTGCCCCCGTTAGATTTCTCCATTTAGCCAGGTGCTGTGGCTCACGCCTATAATCCCAGCACTTTGGGAGACCGAGGTGAGAGGATTGCCTGAGTCCACGGGTTCAAGACCAGCCTGGACAACTTGGCAAGACCTCATCTCTACAATAAATCAACAAAAATTAGCCAGGCGTGATAGCACACACCTGTAGTCCCAACTACTTGGAAGGCTGAGGTGAAAGGATCACCTGAACCCAGCAGGTCGAGGCTGCAATATACATGAGCATGCCACTGAACTCCAGCTGGGACGACAGAGTGAGACTCTGACTCAAAAAAAAAAAATTATCTGTTCTCAGAAAGGTGCCGTGTGGGCAGCCCCCTCGCCTCTGCCATCTGCACTGCTCCTTTCCAGAGTAATCTTGACCAGAAATTATGCACAGACTTGTTTGGTGGGTTCATTCTAGGTCTGTCCCCTGCTCCAGACTGTGGGCTCCCTGAAGGCAGGGCCAGGCTTGCTTAGGCTGAGTTGTGCTCCCATCACTCAGCATGGTGCCTGGAGCAGTGGACACTCAGTTAATTACAAGAAGAAATGGATTAGTTGAATAGAAGAAGGAACGAACCAACCAACTAAGGAACAGAGACTCAGACAGTTCCCTGGGGTCACAGGCAAATGGCGGCTCCTGGCCAGGGCACCGTCCTTACCCACAACTGAAGAACAGAGGCAGAAGGTGAGTTTAGTTTGGCCGCAGGAACTCCTGCCTCACTTTGCCAAGGGATGAATTCCTGCTGGTCCCTGATGATGCTTTGGACTGAGAAAAGTGCCAGCTGGCCACACGGCAGGACACCCCTCCAGCTTAAGAGTCTCCTCTCTAGATCTCCTCCCTAGCACTAGCTCCACCTGGGCCTCCCCTTCCTCCTGGGAGCGCAGCCTCAGTTTTCAGTTCTTAGGGTCCTACCCCCCACTCCACATGCCCCTCCCCACACTCGAGGAGAAGCACAGGGTGGGTGCCCATTCATTCATTCATTTACTTGGTACTCCCGGAGCCCCCTGTGTGTCCAGGTCCATGCCTGGCTCTGGAGGGAAAGGGTCTGAGCCAATGGGAACGGTCATTCCAAAGAGGCATTCTCCACCAGGCAGAAGAGGCTGTGGGGTGGTGAGGATGCTAGCCAGGCATGAGTGTTGGAAGCCAGTCGTGGAGGCCCGCCTGAGCGTTAGGGATCCAGGCGGGCTGCGGACCCTGAGACCACCAGG